GGGGGAGAAAACAGAAAACAAACTACATTTCCCAGTAGGCACTGGGGCTACAAGTGCCTCTTTCCTATCAGACTGTGCCTCAAGGCTTCATGGGAATTGTAGTTTTCTCCCCCATATGAGAGCAAAGCCAATTTTTAGGACAGTCCTGTCTTTTCACAGGCTGCAGACCTGCGGTTGGAAATGACCCAGGAGCCTCTTAAGAAGCCCGAGCCCACCGAGACCCTGGTGTTTGGAAAGACGTTCACCGACCACATGCTGATGGTGGAATGGACTGGGAACAAGGGCTGGGGCCAGCCCTGCATCAAGCCCTTCCAGAACCTGACGCTGCACCCGGCCTGTTCAGGCCTCCACTACTCCCTGCAGGTGGGGTGACACCGGCCCCTCTCCCCTGTCCCTCTCAGTATCGCTTGCCTCCTGTCATCACACCCCCCTGCTCAGTACCTTGCAGAGGTTTAGTCTTTACATATGCCTCCTTGTGCACCCACCATCTATTTCTAGACTTTGTGCTGGGTTCCTGAGGTAGGCCATCTCAGTTCCTTCACTTGAACACCCTCCACACTTTGCTTACATCCCAGTGTGGTCTGTGCTCTGACGGGGGCACCCGCAGCATTGTGGGAGGCCAGACTCCTCTTGTGACTTCTGATGAGGAAATAAATACATGAGGCCCCAGTTGAGGGTGTTGATGGGGAGCACATGGTCAGGACATGGTGCCCGAGAAGGGATAGGGCTTGGCAGATTCAGGGAGATTGTAGGGTTGAAACAAGGTCAAGGAAGCCAAAGGCGTGATCAAGGCCACGTAACGCTCAGCCGAGGGACCCTGTGTCCACGCCAGAGAGGCATGGAGGACTGTGAACAGGGCCCACTCTGGGGATCTTAAGACCCCACTAGGGCCATGTGGATCATGTAGTCTCTAGACTGACAACATTGCTTTTCGGCACTCTGGAAAAGCTGTGACGGCAGGTTTTCCCAATGCAATTTGTCTTTTGATTTCCTGACTGTTGGCGTTAAGAGTGTTGACTGTGGAGCCGAGCAAGCTGTAATTGTTAACAACTTCAATCTCCTCTTCATCTGTCGTGGTGCTGTCAGTTGGCCCAGTGGTGAAAATCATTGTCTTCTTGATGTTGAGCTTCAATCCCTATTAAAGACCATAGTCCTTGACCTTCTGCAGCAAACGCTTCAGATCCTCTTCAGTCTCAGCAAGCAGGGTTCTGTCATCTGCATAATGCAGGTTGTTAAAGAATATACCTCCAATCCTGATGTCACATTCTTCCTCATAAAGCCCTGCTTCCCGAATGCTCAGTTCTGCCTATAGATTAAAAAGGTGTGGAGACAGGATGCGTCCGTCACACATTCCTTTCCTGGTTTTGAACTATGCAGTGTTTCTTTTCTTGCTCTTTTTCTGAGTTATTCCTCCCTCATTAACATAAGCTCACAGCCCCTAAGTTTCCTGTCTGACCTTTCTTTCAAGGTTGTTGTCAATTTTGAGAGATAATTTTTTTTTTCAAAGTCCACGATGCTCAAGACACACATTCTTTAATAGCAAGCTAAACTGTTATTTGGTGAGGGAGCTCTTGTGGCGTAATCTGTAGGGAGTTGCTCTCCTAACCCAAAGGTGACACCTCGCTGATGGTTCGAATCCACCAGCGGCTCTGAGAGAGAAATAGGAACAGTTTCCTCTTGTGCCACTTAAAGGCTCTTAAAACCCGCTGAGGAGTCAGCTGTATGTCTAACTTAACAGAAACGGGCTGATTTGAGATCATTTGATTTGAAAGGCTATAGGGCTGAATGAGTGCTTACATTACCTCTTTGAATTATAGTCTTGTGGCTTCTTTAATAAACCTCATAATTAGGGAGGGGAATTTAAAAAAGGGCTACAGGGGATATTTTTTTTTGTTTAAATATTAAAGATAGTCTCAAGTCTCTGCGATTCATCTGGATTCCATGAGAATTTTAAAATTCTGTTCTGCATGTCCCCCCTTTTGGTAAGATTCCACTCTAGAATCTATGATCAAAATGTTGAGACTTTTTTAGAATTTTTGTCCTGCCTCCTCCTGGACACAGAATTGATCACAGCCGATTCTATGCACAGGAGACACGCCTTGAGATGCATTTAGGCACCAAAGCAAGTGTCAGGGACAATCAGGTTATACTTACTGATCCCCAAGAAGGTTCTTTGGTGGAGAACGCCCTTTGTTTTTTCTCTATTTCACACGCCATGTTGTTTATTCATTTGTTTTTTTTTTCTTTTCTATAATTATATTTTATTAATTTTCATAAACATTTACAGAGATTTTGGGCCTCCACTCACTCATTGTTGCACTATTCTCTCTACCCTCCTCCCAGTTTGTTCTTGTCCAAATGCCACAGTGCTTGTCAAAGCCAGTTCTGATTAATCTTCTTTGTCAGTGTATCGAATACAGAGGATGTATTGGGTTTAGCTTTTATGAGTATGACTTATAGCGACCCTATGAACAACAGATCGGAACCCTGTCCTATCTTATGCCATCCTCATCATTTCTGACATACCTTAGCTCCTTGCTGCCGTCATTGTCAACCGGTTGAAGGTCGTCTTCTGTTTCACCAGCCTCCACCTTTCCAAGCATGATATCCCTTTCCAAGGACTAGCCTCTCCGAGCAATGTGCCCAAAAGAATACATCTGACGGCTAATACTGAGGGTGTTGGTTGAGTGTGGATCCAAGGAAGATGACAGTTGTCGACAGTTTCAGTCTTTTCTCCAGCTGTCATGATGTTGCCCATCAGTCCAGTGGTGAGAACGTTTGTGTTCTTGATGTTGAGATATAATCCATCTAGAACATTGACTTGTGAAGTGTATACCTAGACCAAGAGGCTGTGTAAGTGGAGCAAAGGAACACCACATAGTTTAAGATTAAGAAGAGGGTGTGTTAGGATCAGAGCATCTCTGCAGACACATTCAGTCTGTATGCTGCGCAAATCATTGGAGCGAGAAGCTGGTCTCTGTGAAGAAGAATGTGGCCTCAGGACTGGAGAAGACGCATCAGCAGTCTGTGTTAATGTCTTGTTTTGCTGAAAGTGAGGAGGATTTGAAGTGCTTGCTGCAGAATATCAAGAATATCAGAATATCAGAATATCAAGGACTTTTGGTGTTAATTGCCTTTGAGTCAAGCACGACTCATAGCGACCCTAAGAACAAAAGGCCTGATGCCCCTCAACAACTATTGACATTTATCAAAGTTCACAGTTTCCGGAGGCATGTTGTGTAGGAAGGGGATACCTCTCCTGCTTCCAAGGTCTACAGCCTTCCATATGGATTGAGTTTAGAGGCCTGGCATACAAAATGCATTTCTTTAATCTGTCAGCTCTCACACAATGGCCATGCAATTTAGCTGAGGCCATAGAAGTCTCATCTCTCTGCCAGACACCTCATGCTAATAATGCATGCACAGAATGGCAGAGAAACCACTGTCTTTTTATTTGCTTTTTATTATTGTGGTAAAATACATGTAACACATCATTTATCATTTTTTTAAATTTTATTTTCATTATTTGTGTGTGTACCGTCAAATCAGATTTGACTAGTACAAGAGGAGATTGTTCCTCCTTCTCCAGCAGAGCATCTGGTGGATTTGAACCGCACACCTCTGGGATTGCAGTGCAGCTTCTTGCCACTAGGCCACCAGAGCTCACCCATTTGTCATTTTAAAGTATACAATTTAGTGGTGTTAAATACATTTGCAATTCGGTGTAACTCTCACCACTGTCTAGCTGTCATCGCTGCAAATGAAACTCCAGACCCATTAAGCACTTACTCCTTGTACCCTTTTCAAAGCCCTTGGCAACCACTAATCCATTTTCTGCCCTTATCCACCTGGATTATTTTATTTCATTTGGAGTATATAAAATGCCTGTTAGAAAACACAAATAGCATGCATGGGTGGCTTTGAAGAACAAATTCTTCTCATAGCTCAGCAGGCCAGATGCCCAAATCAGGATCTCCCTGGGTCCATTTCTTCTCTGTCTGTAAGCCATCCTTCTTGTACATGACTCTCAGGGATTATCTGTCGACTGGTCCACCCCTCACCCTGTGTGCCTAGCTGCTATTACTGATTATTTTGATAGAAGAGACTAGACTATATTAATGTTGACCAAAAGCAGAGTATAGAGAACAGAATTTGGGGTTTTTTTTGTTTTTTATTGTATTATTTTTACATGTACCGTCAAATCAGATCTGACTGGTACAGGAGGAGATTGCCCCCTCCTTCTCCAGCAGAGCATCTGGGGGATTTGAACCGCGTATCTCTGGGATTGCAGTGTAGAGAACAGAATTTTACATTTTCATGAAATCCCATGAGTGTTTGCCACCCATGGTAGCAGCAGTCAAGAAATCAAAAGATGTGTTGCACTGAGGAAATCTGCTATCAAAGACCTCTCCAAAGTTCATTCTTGTTTTAAAAAACAAAACAAAACAGCAAGAAGCTGCAACTACAATCCCAGAGGTGCACGGTTCGAATCCACCAGATGCTCTGCCGGGGAAGGAGGGACAATCTCCTCCTGTACCAGTCAGATCTGATTTGACGGTACACGCACACAAAAATAATAAAGTAAAAAAATGCTAAAAACAAAACAAAACAAAATAAAACCCACCACAAACCAAGTGCAACAATGAATGGCTGGAAATCCTAAGTCTCTGTAAACTTTCGTTAAAATTTAAAAAAAAAAAACCTAAACAAACCAAAAACTTGCCCCCTTTGCTTTTAAATATACTTTATTGTAATTTTAACAAAAGTTTACAGAAAGCCACATTTTCATCCAACCACTGTTGCACATTTTCCTCCCTTCTCCCTCCCGCCATTAACTCTCTTTTCTTTTTTCAATTTTCATTCATTGGGGCATAATTTCCTCGCTTGCCCGTCCCCCAGCCCACTTTGCTATGCACTTCTTACTGGGGGTTATTGTCATACATATAACGCCTAATCATACATTCCTTTCCCGCCTCCCCCTTGTTGTGTGCTTTCTAATCAGATCCAACTGGCACAGGAGGAGATTGCCCCTCCTTCTCCAGCAGAGCATCTGGTGGATTCGAACCACGTACCTTTGGGATTGCAGCGCAGCTTCTTGCCACTAGGCCCCCAGCAGTTCCTTCCATGCATTCCCTTTACACAGTTCTTTCCCTCATCTATTCCAATGCAGTGTTCATTATCTATCCACTCTTCCAGTTCTGCTCCCAACGCCCCGTGTCAATCCTGCGGTATCAGTGGTGTTATACAGTGTTTATCTCTCTAAAATCCTAAACAGCAAAGATGTCACTTTCAATGCTAAGGTTCCTTTGTCTCAAGCTGCAGTGTTTTACTTTGCTTCTGAAGCATCTAAGCGACCTCCGTCT